GATCTAAGCGCAGGGTCTAAAGCGCACTTTTGCTAGTTTAACGATGGGAAAAACGGTCGGCGCGCATGGTCTAAAAGGGTTGTCCCTATTCTCTTAATGAGTATTGGGTGTGTTTTGGTCATAACGTGCAATAAACCAATCAGAGTCTCATCTCCCATTCCCTTTAAAGTGGTCATCGGAGGCCCATTTTCCACAAGTTGATATGATTCTTTAGGGTCTTAATGAAAAGTCTGTAACATAGTTTGGTTAAAATTTCTCAATGGTAGTGTAAAAAAATGCACTATGCGTCTTCAGCGGCTCAGATGTCGGGAGTAAATGATGACTGCTTTTCATTATTACATCCAAAAACAGAACACCTCAATCACTTAGAGCAGCCTTTATGGTTAGAGAACCATAGGTTAGAGAGAGAGAGAGAAAAAAAAACACTTTTGTCCATTGTTATATGCTAGTTTAATGATGCTATGGCATAACATGGCATATGTAGAAATGTATGTAAGCCAAGATTTTAAAAAAGAGCTTTAAGCTAACATTTTGTCACACCAGGGGCGTAGCCATCATTTCAGAAGTGACCGAAATGTCAAATACAATAATTTTATGTATGTATGTATTTTTTTAAAGGAATTCTTTGCTTATCTCTTACTTTGAATTTGCTATAAGAAATCAAATACACTTCTGGACAATAATCAATCATTTGTAATCTATAATTTTCTCCTAATGGCAATTTTATGTAAATACACTTCTGGACAATAATCAATCATTTGTAATCTATAATTTTCTCCTAATGGCAATTTTATGATTGTTTTATATACTACAAACAATTATTTCAATTTTCTGCACAGAATTAGGTAGTTGTCAATTAGCACTGCATCATTCATAAATTGTATTTATATATTGTGTTTATTGTCTTAACGTTTCATCAGTTCATTCTGCTTTTTATTCAGCTTAGCTGCAGATATAGCCTGGCACATCTTAAGTTCTATGAGCGTGAGATCACTTCTATTTCAGTGCGAAAACTTCTTTATCTCATTTTCATAAAATAAAATGCTATAGTATTTAACTTTTCCTCTCCATCGGCGAATGATGATTCTGAAAGAAAACGCGCCGATGTCTGTTTGCTATAGCAACGAAAGCTACTTTCATGCATCTGATTATCAGATAAACCTCGCGCTCTTGTTTCAAGGTTGTTGTTAATGCTGTGGTTATTTTAACGGTTTCCTCCGTACATTCGGTTCAACGACATTGTTAAAACACATTTATCATTCAATGGAACTGTGCGTATGCTTTAGACACTTACGTTTTTGCTCCGTCCATGCAATAAATGCGTAGCCTTCGACTGCTCATGTAATGTCGTCGGTATGACCGAGAACCATTGAAAAACTAAAGAAAAGCAAAACTACTTCACTTTAGCATTACTGGCCACGAGTACTAAGGAGAGATCACACATCAGCTGCTCAAAAAATGTGTCAGTGAGACGAATGGAGCGCGAGCGCAATCCTGTGACAGTCACAGGCGGTAAATAGTGGAATGCGTGAAGGAGAGATGCGAGGCGCGAACACTGTTCAAGGTCTCCATTCATTCAGGGGCCTGTCTGTGTGACGTCACAAAGACAGGCATCTGAGATCGGCTCGATTTTAAAAAGATTTTAGGGTAAAGATTTTAGTAGATAAAAAAAAAAAACACTGGATTTTTATCATTATAGGGTGGTTGTGTACACACACTGCCAACACACATTTCAGT